GGGGGGTTGTCAAGGTGACGGGCTTTTGACCGGCTGAGAGCAGCAGGATTTGGTGTTCTGCTACCAGATATCCAGGTAAGCACTCGATGGCACAGTTGGACCGCTTTAAAGACAGACTTGTGATTTCCTTGTTGCTGTAATCAATGCTAAGGGCCCCGGGTTCTGAGAGCCGAATGTGGCTGGAGGAGGGTTAACGGTCTGTGAGCAGCAGACAGGTGTGGTGGGGACAAAGCGTGAGATACATGTGCATGCAACGAAAAATTCATACATACCATGTGCCGGAATCAAACTTGTACTTCACGGTTTCAACACATGAGAACTCGTGGTCTGAAAAATAAAAAATAAAGAGTGTATGATTGATCTCTTTACTGTAGTGAACAGGTTCACCCTGCCGAGCAGTGCGTGTTTTAGACCATGTGCATTCCTGTTACTTGTTACACCCAAAGACAGAGGCTGTTATTAAAAAGGGGCAGCACTAGAGGCAACATTCAAGATGGTCTGATTAAAGGTTGATTTATGTGCACTGCAACATATTTGGAGTCACCTTACATCCATCCATACTGCAGTAAATCATTGAATTGTGTAGTATAAGCATTTCTGGGTGGTTAACTAGCAATAATACGATCAAAATATTCTTCTATGATCAACAATCTACCACATGCTCAAGTTAAAAAGTGTTCTCTGTGTAAACATTTAGAGTTTATTCCAGTTTCCATACAACTTTAAAAAAGGCAAGACGGTTGTGGTACAAGACAAAGACTTCAAAGTGCTGATTCTATAAAACAAAACCATCAGCGGCAAACAGTGCACGCTACTTCTGTGGTGGCCATATGCATTTCTCCGCACATTTCAGGATTTTAAGTTCCCCTTGGACCATTTCAGTTACAACGTGTGGCGGTTTGCTTACTGTGAGGCTCAGCCAGGATGTGGAGTATCAGCTGCGCCATGCTGCTCACCTCCATCCCCCCCATTGACTGCTCTGACACAGCAGGGAGACCAACATCTACACACATCGTTAAGGACACTGACCTGTTTAAGCGGCCTGTTATTTCCACTTTGCTAACGTGTCGTGCTGCAAGGATTCTGTGCCAACTTCCTTACACCAGAAAATCTAAATTTGCAAAGAAATACCTATAAACTCTGTAAATACATTAACACCATCACTGCATTTGCACTGACAAAGAGCATTTACAACATAGAGTGTCAATTAAATGTGACGAATAGTGAAGGATACATTCCAACATGGAGGCGGGTGTGAGCTTCTGCACAGAGCTGGCATTGGGGCAGCATTTGTGAAACTCTTTCTTCACATCCACAAATGAAAAGAAACATTGAGGAAGGACAAGATTCTGAAAAAGAAGAAACAAAAGGACAAAGTATTCAGTATGACGTATTAGACACATCACAAACAGCCAAGGGACAAAGAGATGAAAGAGAGAGAATGTACACGGCGACACTATCTTGTGTCAGAGTTATGACCAGGAACACGAAAAGGAGGAAAAGATTCATTACTTCTCAATGCGAGTCAATGCCCACATTCATGAGGGAAAGAAATCCGACCCGTGAAGCTTATCGCATTTAACTCCAGCACATTTCTAGAAATGAACTAGTATACGTTTAAGGTTTCCACATGGGACACGAGGATTTAACTTGAGCCATGAGCAGAGAAAGCCCTAACTGACATGCTAGTGCTCTGCAGTTAGCAATAAATAAGGAAATCATCTGGTGGAAACATGCATATTTAAGACTTTCTTTCCCGTTTAACAAAGCAGCAGTAGCAGTGCGAGTTCTTACCTTTTTGGAAGCCTCGGGGTGGAGGGCCTGTCGGATGACGAGAGGACTGTCGACACAAAGTGTGAAAGAGCTTCTGCCGAGGCATTTCACTTCTGATGACACCGACTGCTGGAACTGCACAATGAAACAGAGAGGAAGGAGAAAGGAAAATTAAACATGGATTTTATCAGAGGAATATTTAATAATTGTACCCATCACAGGAAGGCAGGACAGTCAATATTAAATGTGAACATAACGTATCCAAAAGTATCTTTATTTTGGATTATTTCACTCCAATTCTTAAACATCTTGTGACCTCCTAATAAATGGGTCAACTCGCTGTTGGTCAAACTGCACCAACTATAATACAGACTTTAATCTAAAGGCAGACAAGTGAAGGTGGTGTGTCTGACATTTGGCTGTGTGTTTGTTCATCATTAGGAACGAGGCTTGTTGAACAGGTTTTAGTGTTTGCCTAGCGAGGGAGGGAGCAGACGAAGGAGAGGAATGATCACACCACTGATCACAGTTTTCTCTCAGCACAACCAACAGACAGGCAGACGAGAGGGGAAAACAACCCGTACAAGCTCAACCTGCCCGCCTCCATTTTACATCAACTCTGATGGTTCCTAAATACCAGCAACTCCCCCATATGTACATGTTTATTTAGAACTACATTCAATGAGCCCCAGTCCTGGTGTTGTGTCAACCTGTTAGCAGCATTCAACTGTCAACAGAGGCCATCACCTCAATATCAACGGCCACTGGTGAGGTCAGAGGACTCATTTTTGAGAATGTTTTACATCATTTTCTGATTGTAAATTACTAATCTTCAAGGAAAGTCAAGTAAACAGAAAAATGGTGTTATAGCTTATTTGGAGAGGATGTGGGGACCATAAATGGAGCATCTCATCCCCATCAGATTGTTTTGCATAAGTTCTGAAAGCGTATCGACTTCAATGTTGCTCGTATTCATTTGCTGCTCAATGTTCCCATGCAAGACGGAGACTCTTTCGCCTCCAGAAAGTTAGTAGTTTTTCCCTTTGTTCTCCCCTGAATCCTCAAAGTCACCCATCTCACAGCAAAATTAGACTGTCTGAGTGTGAGGCCAGCAAAAAACCCCATTGGCCACTGGCTATGTATGACTGATCTCCAGAGAGTGAGAAAGTATTAGAGGTGCGTGTTGAAGCATGCAGGGCTAACCAGCTGCTGACAAGGGAACAAGGGCTACTGGGTTCATGGGCCCCTGAAAATGGCCAGCTGGGATTCTCACATCGACGACTCTTTCAGGATTCTGTACAGCCACCTCAATAAAAGACCACTGGTCGCTTAACTAATGAAGAAAAACAAATGATACATAAAAGTTACACTGATTAAGAGTTAAGTCGAAATTCGTTGGACAGCCATGATTTAATAAACACATTTTAAACGTTTCAAGTATGAGCTGGACGGTGTGTTTATTTGTACTTGAATGCTTTCCCCAAACTTGAAGAGCACCTGATTTTTAACCAACATCAAAATTAGAAACTTAGAGTACAAACGCCCTCTGTAGCAGGAACTACACGTCCTACAATAATACACATTTCAGACTGGAAACACCAAGTTACAAGACGGTATGGATGCTGTTGAATAAGTGAATGCTGGCGTGGTGGCCCGGACCTGAAACAGGAGTTATGAATTGACATGGCCGCCGTGGATACACAACGGTGTATATTTGGATGCCAGATTCGCTGTGTTGGCCGTTACTCTAATCCCAGAGATAATAGACTTCTTTAGTCAGGGCGGTAACGATAACATGTGCATGAGAACAATAGGTCAACAAGTACATTTTGGTGAAAGGATGCACCAGATTCTCAGCTGTGTATGCAACCACAACATTATGCTTCACTAAAAAGGTGGAACCCAGAAACGATTTCTGAAACAAACGCAGACAGAGGACAGATCTATTTCAGGTGCTTTGATTATCACACAGTAGAATTAACTCTCCGGAAGGTCTTGGCAACATCAGATCTACCCGCCCCTTCATGCTTTGATCTACGTCTAGTCCAATTAGCATGTTATCCTGCTGATGTCACCGAACTGCCCCGAGTACAGACCACAGTATCGACATAGCACCTCAGCAGCACACCTTGTATTAAAGCCACCGATGGAGTTTTAAGAGTCAAAGAAAGAGGAATTTAAAGTCCTTGCATTTTATTTCCCTCATTCATTGAATGGGCCTAGTCCTTTTTTTTTTTTTTTTTTCTCAGTGAGTTGCATGGTTCTGAATGCTCACAACACCAATAAAACAAAAGCAGTTATCTTCTTTCATCCAATGCAACAGTAAAGTTCAAAACTATGACACTCCGCTGTTGCGTAGATGAATCAAGCAGCACATTTGAAGCACAGCCATACTGCACAATTCCATATTTACAGTGATAACAGGACTTAATGTTTGCTCATAGCTATGCAGCTCCACCTTGGCCAATTACTAAAGCCGGATTACTGAGAGAAAAGCAAATGTTTTTAGATGACGTAGCGGCACGCCCCACTCCTTGTCTCCACTGTGTCAAAACCGCGGTTTAAATTGAGCAAACAAGCCGAACAGAAGACAAATCTCACAGTGACAACAGATCGGTAAAGACAACAGGCCAATCAGCCAAACTCATGACCAGACCACAGAGGAAAATGTCAGCTACATTTCATTTTCAATGAGCACGATCTACTCTCTGTATAGCAGTAGGTAGAGTCCTTTACCTTAAAGGGTTAAGTGTTCCATTTCTCCTCAAGGATTTTCTGTTATCGATTCTTTGTAACAATGATTTGGTTCCTAGGATAAAATCATCTTACTGGCATGCTTGACTCTGCTGTCAGAAACTGGCTGCCAAATTTTAACACATCCAACTTTCTCTATGATAATGTAATCTTACTATAAAAAAGTGATTTATTTGAGTTCAATCCAAAATCAGCATGTGTTTTCCGTTTCATTATTTTAGGACCCACACATACACTCTTAAAACCAACTTTCAGTCTCACTACAGCCTCTGAAAGGCTTCTCCACAGATGAGGGGGAGGAAGTGGCCTTTGAACACGTCCTATCAGTCTGCTCTGCAGTGCAGCCCGACTGTTTGCATGCAGAGGTGAGGTGGCTCAAGCTAATTCCGATAAGAGCAGCAGGGAGTGTCGGGGCAGTCCCTGTGGAAACTGTTTAAGGTGCCTAAAGTCTCTCTCTCTCACTCACACTCACACACACACACACACACACACACACACACACACACACACACACACACACACACACACAC